CCCCAAAGAAAAAGATTTTGATTACTCTTAGAGGATTTGATTCGTTTTCAATTTACTCGAACTGAGTATAAGGGACTTTTCAATTTATGTTAACTGAAATTGTAAAGTCCCTTATCGGTTTTGGATTTTTCGGGTTCCATGGGTTTCGGTTAGGTTACCCAAACCCGAACCGAACTGGTACCACTAGTTTCTGCTGACCATACAACTACAAAACTACACATGAGTTGTTGTTATGTGGCAAATCTTTCTGTTCTGTAGATGAAAATTATCTTGCTCATTGTAGTAGTGTTTCTATGTTTTAAGTTTCCGTGTTGTTGATAGTACGTTTGCAAGTTTGGCCCATTGCTTTTCGTAGGATGTTATTGTAATGTCCGAATTCCATTTGATTAATTAGTAATCCAAAGCCTTGCTGCTGTCTTCTCAGTCTTGTCTAAAAAATGACGGAAATAATGTGGAAAACTAGGTTAGAGCAATACAAATCGTGGCTCCACATGATGTTTTGGCGTAATAATAAATGCAAAGGTATTATTATGCGAAGGGAATACAGTACAGTGCATTTGGGGTAGCTAGCAGTAAAGGGAGCATGCCCTTTATTCGTAGGACAATAGGTCGCGTACCTCCTCGTCTCATCTCAGACGGGGAAGGAAACCCATCTCTGAATATTGGGATGTTGGATCCTTTCATTAGTGGAAAACCCTCACATGGCATCGGGTGCCTTCTTTGACCATCCCTTGTTCTTGTTCATGCATGGAGGAAATCCAGTGGCGGATCCAGGGGGTGGCCACCCCGGGCCCCGGCCCAGCCCTCCTCTGGATCCATAGTTAGTATAGGCCTTATGAATTTTTTGATATTAGGTATTCGGCCCAATGCTATTTTTATAATAAAATTGGATATAATTAGCAAATTGATTTAGATGAACATATTCAAATCACTACTCTAAATTTAGCCAAGAAATTCTAGCCCCAAAGATTTTTCGTCTAAAAAAAACATTGAAACCTAAAATTCTAAAGCATAACAGACTAAAAGAAATATAAGGTTTGTTACCTTGAAAATTTACTAGACAACTGGTGGTATAGGGATGGACACATAATGCAAATTGATATTGATTTGTCTAGTGTTGATGCTGCTCGTTTTAACAACTACAGAGAGAACCTAAGAGAACCTTTTGAACAAAGAAACATGTAAAAACTGATATGCACAATAAATGAGCGATGAATTTCTTGCCAATTGCTCAAGTATTTTATTTGGGACAGTGTATACTATTGGTATGGATGTGGACTACATTATTGATACATTTTCTAAATTAAGATACCGTTGTGTACAATTTACATTGTAAAAAAACTATAATCATTAATTTTTTTATGGTTCTAATTTTCTAATAAAATGCGGCCCAGTGCTCTTTTGTGTTCTGGATCCGCCGCTGAGGAAATCTATATTTATTTGCAGTTGCACACAACATTATTCTGCATTTTGTCGGTATACAAATTCTCTGGGTATAAGTAATGAAGTTAAAATTGTACTTTTGAGGTGAAAACTTACGTTTTGATATTTTTAACTCATAAGTAGAATCGTGTTTCTCAGTTATAAGCAATGTTGTCATAACCGAAACGGTATAGTAAGTGGTTCGCAATTATTGATTTAACCGGTACTAAGCCGCTATAAACACGTTACCGAACCGGTGTCTAATAAATAAAATAAATAAAATAATTATAAGTAGAAACCATTAATAGTACTATAATTATATATTGATTCTAATATATTCCTAACAGAAAATTATATATGGCAAGTAAAGATTATCATTTTACATAAATATAAATTATTTAAGCATAAAAGTTGTGATTTTTCAAAATTAAACACTGCGTAATTATTGATAAAAGTATTTATTGGCTTTGGTTTCACAAAAATAGGGCCAGACCTATTGGTAGAAGGTCTGAGTTGTCACCAAGAGATGCTGGGTTCATATCCCAGCTCTCTCACATTTGTGCAAATTTTTGAATTGATCAAATAGGATTCCGACCGTCAAAACCGATTGAGCGGTTCGAATGACTAGCCCTGTTCAACCGGCCGATTTGCTTACAAATCGGAAGATTGGAGTGTGATGGTCAAATAGCCTCCCCGGACCGAGTTAGGGGGCGGATGAAGGTTCTACTGGTCGGACCGGCCAGTCCAATCCGGTTTTAATAGCACTGGTTACCAGTGTAATCAAAATCAATACTTTTATATTTAAAAGTTTATGGATTTACGCTTCTAGATCACCGAACGATACTATGTAAAATTACGCTTTTGACTGCATTGGGTATAAGTTTACATCTAGCATTCTCAGTGTTGTCATGTTTAGGAGATTGAGAAAATATAAAGAAGATTGATAGTTTCAGCATACGGGATCATATTCAAAATATTTTTGCCTAATAATGATGTCAACCAGAAATTCTAGGACATGCTCATTTGTATTATTAACCAGACAACCAATATGATGAGTGTACGTGGTTTTGCTTTTTAGCCTAAACTTCTAGAAAAATCTTAAGTGTGTTGCTTTCTTAATTCTATTTGTTGTGTATAATGTGAGCCGCGTCTACTTGGTCATGATTTGGGGTAGGCGAGGAGGATGGATATAAAAAATGGGCGGGTGCATGTTGTTGGGAGGAGAGGCATGATACAACAATGATGGCTGAGACAGAAGCATGCATTGAACTTGCCCTGAAATTCCATGTCCTACCCATTATTAGGAAGCAATCCCACTCTCACCAAACCTAATCTCTTCCTATCCCATCACACAGATTTGTTTTTGGTGTCCTAAACGCACTACTGACATCAGTAGTGCCCCATGGACGACATTAAGGGAGTGACGATGAGAGTTGAGGGATATCATCCCTATATTCCTAGGGTATCAATCCTACGTTATTTTCAACTCCAACGGCTCTGTTAATCTCGACATAGGTCACCCAGTAAACGGTCTTTCAAAAGATCACTGAAGAGCTTGCTATGTGTTTGTGTTGAATCTGAATATTTTCTTCATTATCCAGGCAGAGTTGAGAGGCATTGCAGAAGGTCGTTTAGTTCGCTTGGTATGTTGGACATTAGCATGTGGAAGTTCAGGTGGGTTCACACTATGTTGGTTGAATTGGTTGAAAACACTACGTGGAATGAAACTAGTACGCAATTAAATTACTCGTCACGGATTCCTCAATAATTTAAGGAGATATATGGGGTGATTAATATCTCTCATATATAGAGAGAGGGCAATAAGTGTGTAGATAACATACTTGGTAGGAGTAATCTTAAATCTTATGTCTTTATGGCTTTCAGTGTATTCCACTTACTAATGTTATGTTTCGTTACTCGACTAGGCATAATTTTTAGGAACTTTTCAAATATGTTATTTTATAATAATCTACAAAAGCAATACTCATAATATTTCGGTCAACCTCATTTGAACGAATTATTGACTATATCAAGTTCCAAGACCATAATATCTTTAGTCCTAAGGTGCTAACTAATCGGCGGAGGCCCGACCCCAAGGCCCAAGGTCTCCCAGGCGCCGCGGGCGGAAGGTAATTAATTAAGCCACGCCAGCCAGAGGCACGGATGACGTGGAGTGCCACGTAAGTACTGAGCTGGGGTCGGGGACGACCAATCGCGTATGAGCGTCACGTGTGAAGGCGTGGGACGGACGGCGGCGTCATCAACACCGCCACGTGGAGGTAGAAATAATTTTCCCGGGGCACCGCGTTTGTCAGACGTTCACGTGGACATCTCATGCTATAGGCTTCCCCTTTTTCCAATTCCGACCCGACCCGTCCGACGCTCTGATGGCGGGCATTATATCACCGGCCAGCTTTCCGTTGAGATCTTTCTTTCCCCGGAAGCCCCAGCGCCCACCTGCGCCTGTCACCGGAAAATAAAAATATATATGTACCTGTATCGTATCGGCCAGCTAGCTTCAGAATCAGAGAATTTCACAAGTGGCCGCCTGGCCTGCAGTACCAATAGTCCAATACCATAATCATCTTCTTCAGGGCGCCAGTCTTATCTGTAAAGAAACCATAAACGAGGATTGTGTTTTCGGCCTAATAAAAGGTCTCTTTCCCGCTGTACAACAATATTGCTGCCAGTCTTCCAGCGATCTGCCAACCCACAGTGTAGCCTTTTGTGTTTCCCCACCACTGGCAGATCCTGTAATTTGCCTAAAATTGAATGGATTCTTTTGTGAAGATTTATGGATTCAGAATTTGAGATTTTCAGATTGAAATATAATAGCCAGTGACAAAACCAGTTTTGCAAGAGGTTGGAACTCGTAACCCACTTTGACTTGAAATTATAACATAGAAAATAACAATATTTTGTACACAATTCATTGTACTCAAACCCAACGGCTGATGTTCACTATTTTTTTTTATCTACCAACAAACTTTTGAGAAATTTGTAGCAAACATTAACCTTACTTATTATATAAATAATTATAGACTTTACATAGAACTGTGTGTTTAATTGTTTATCCTGAATTAACTAATATCTATGTTAACTTTTGAATTCTCCATCTTCAAATGAAAATCAATAGACGAATCACGAAAACACATAATAAATTATTTATATGCTAAGAGAATTCTTGATGACTACGCCACTCTAACAGTAGAACCAACATTAATAACGTCAACTTATGCGGGAGATGATGAGCATCGGAACTTGTCGAACGGATAACCATAAACAAGCTTTTCATGAAAACAAGGTTAAGATCGACCTCGGGGTTCCCTTTTCTTGCAATCAAAGGAATATATATGCTGCATTTATTCACCTCGTTAATCATACAGTCAAGATAATATATATCCCACCAATAATAATACTTCTCCCATGCATTCATATATCTCACACGTGGAGCCTAACAATTGGCCACCCTCTACCAAGTTGGCACGGTCCCCACAAAGAAGGTTAATCATTATTATTATTATCACAAGAGAAAACCTTAATCAACGACTAATGTACGTACTTAAATCTTATCCCAGTCAAATTAAGCATCCCCGTAGTGTGGAATATCTTGCTGCGACGTCGTCTGATGATAACCACCACCGCCACCTTTCCCCGCGACACCAACATAACTCCCGCTGGCCATGGCCACGGGGAATCCAATCCCACCACCACCACCGCCACCCGGCGCGTGCATCCCCTCCGCCGCCTCCGGAGGCCGAGCTGATCTCTCCAGTGACTGCACCTGGCCCTTCAGGAACTTGACGTAGTGAATGGCCTCGTCGAGCATCGACGCCGTGTCCATCTTCGTCCCGCCGGGGACCAGCCGCTGGAGGATCCTTATCCTCTCGCTGATCCTCTCCCTGCGGTGACGCGCCGCCACGCTCTGCGGGTCCTTGGAGATCCTGACGTTCCGCCGCTTGGGCGGCTTGACGGCCTCCGGGTCGATGTGGACCGGCTGCATGGCGGCGATGCGGAATATCATCTCCCTCATCGCCGCCATCGACGCCTTCTTCTGCATCATCCCGCCGTTGTGATGAGCGCCGCCGCCGCCGGCGGCTGCGGCCTCGGCGGTCATGAGATCCCGCCATGAGACGGGTTGGTGGTCGTCGTTATTGGGGGAGAAGGATAGGGTGGTGGAAGGAAACGTTGAAGGGTCGTTGCTGTGGTGGAGGAAATGTGGGTAGGGAGTTGCACCGGCGGGGAAGTCGTCGGAGGGTAAAATGGGGAATTCCGATGAGTAGAAGTAGTCGGGGAGATGTTGTTGTTTGTTCATCATGATGAGCATTGATTGGTCGTCGGCGTCGGTGGATGGCGATGACGATGAGGAGGAGTACTTCAAGTGATCGATTTCCATGTGTCTTTTTGTTTCCTTTTAGAGCAGAGGGATGGAGAGTGGTGTGGCTATGCTATTTTCTGCAGTGGTAATGGAGATAGATAGAGAGATCAGTAGAGAGTGTGTGTTAAGGGTATGGAGAAGGAACTGAGGAAGGCAGAAATAGAAAGTGTTGGGACTTGGGAGGTGGGAAATTAAAGGTATTAGGGAAGAAGATGCCGTCATGCTATGCTACCTCCAATATATATATTGTGAAAATAATATATGTAAGGTTAATATGTATATATTGAATAGTTAATTAACAAGTGGAGTTTTGCTATCTTCTGCAAGAAGATAATATTTTACTATTATTGTTATGATAGTAGTAATAAATTTTATTATTATGTTTATTTGAAAATAATAGAATGATACCTTGTTGTTTTGTTGGGAGGAATGATGACATTGATATTTTTAATTCTGGTGGTGAGTTTTTGTTGTTTTAAGTTTTGGAGGTTTGTTCATGGCGGTAGGTGTGGATGTTGGAGATTAGAGAGAGTGGGAGAGAGAACTAATCAATTACTAGCTAGGCTCTAATTTTGCAATAGTTTACTGATAAGCTGGAGTGGCTCTGCTAATTAATTATATGCATGGGTTTCGTTGATACTTGATAATGATTAGCTCACGTGTAATTGAGTTGGCTACGCCAATTAAGTCACCAATACTAGTTTAGTTTATATTTACATTTAATCGGCATTTGATATTAATTTCTTAACAATCCGATAAGTAAACCTGGTAGAAGGATGCGTAGAAACTAGTTTTTTTTACATACAAGGTTGTCAACCCCGGTCGACCCACTTCGACCCTGGCTCGGTGAGAAAAAACGGGCCGCACAAATTCACCGGGTCGACCGCTATAAGGTACCGGGTTGGAGGTCAAATTGTGTCATTTTTTCTTTGGTTTGCGAAATGCGCCTATTTTCTGATTTTTCTTTTCGCATAACTCCATATTTGGAATCCTAAGTTGACATTTGAATATATATATGTTATATAAGTGTGTGTGAATTTTCACTATATGTTGGATCTAAGTATGATATGTTATTTTGGTGGAATATTATATGTTATAACTCATATGTTAGTTGATATTTGATATAATTTATCAGGATAAATACAATATAATGACTCTTTCCATATTTCCAGATTAAACCGAACTAAAATGAGTGACCCATTAACTATTTACTCACTAGCTCCACCGGCTCCGAGTCAATTGAAAAACTTGGAGCAAACTGATGTAAAGGCTATATATTATTGAGGATTTGGGATGTGACGGTAAGAAAACGTTGCAGTGATAAGAGTCAAACCTTACCGAAAATGGAAGCATTAAGGAGGAGGGGATAAACTATTATAGAAATATAGAATAAATGGTCGCAAAAGGGCCACCATCAAAGCCTTCAGATCTATCTATCTACAGAATTACCAATTCATTTACACAGAAAGGAAAGCATACGCAGCAGCAGCTCTCTCTGCTCTTGGCATTGAGTGTTTGATCATGGTGGAGGGGGAATATTGATTATTATTTTCGCTTCTCTTTTTAACTTAAGTAAATATACCTTCATATGGTTATTGTTTTTTTTTTTTTTTTTTCTTCTTCTTCTGTGCATCATATTGATTATTGTTGATTAATATATAAAATTATTTTAATTTTCCCTCAAAATTATAATATTGAAGGGGGAAAAGGAAACCTTAGCCGAAACCCCACAATCACATGACAGGTGTCAGAGACCTCACAAGACTCCGTTTCTCCCTCCCTGTCCGTAATGTATAAATGAGCCGAATTAAAAAATTGAAAAGAAAGCAGACATTTTTAATTAATTAGTTGTCCCCACTTGGCGGTGAGAACTGAGAACCCAGTGCCGTTAGGATGTACACTTGGTCAATGATCTGAACGGCGTTCGGAGTGTGTTACACACTACATTTACGGTTCGTTTGCTTCGTGGATTTGAAAAATGAGGTTTTGGTAAAATTTGGGTTTTGGAAAATCATGGATATATGATGGATTTGGTGGCATTATGGATTTGAACAAATCTATTGTTTGCTTGATGGATTTGATTATGGACTTTGTTTGATTAAATTTATGGATATTAAATACAAATTACCTAGTTACCCTTATTTAATTATATTTCTATATTATAATCCAAATCTTTCATTTAAAACTAATCCAAAACATAGGAAGAAATTTTAAACTCTTTACCACTATGTGGATTAATAATTCAATTACAAATATAGAAATGTATTACAATTTGGCACTAATTAACAATTCATCTAATAATCCTTCATAAAAAAACAATTCATCTAATAATGTACGCAATATTATGTATCAATTGCAGCCAATTGCTCGCTTTATAGCTACAACTCATCATCTTCTTGCTAACTCACCGATGTGGAATCCGACAATCAATCAAATAATAATGTACAAGATGAGCATAAAGTGTTTCTAGGTGAATCTAACAAATCACATATACATTCATATTTAAATAAAATACGATATTACAAAATGAAATGATAAATTCTCATATTTATAAAATACAAAATTATAAAAGTTTACAGTTGCATGACCATTGAATTAAAGTAGGAAAAATTTGTAATTAAAGAAATAATTAAGGGTAGAAAGGTAATTTACCATCATGAATTTTAATCCATCACCCAAATCCCACCTCAAGAGGTGGAACTTCCAAGTCCGTGGGGTCCACGGATTTGGAACTCCAAAAGTGGTGGGCCCCACAAATTACATCTCCCTAATTCCCTAAGGCAAACGATGGATTTCGGTTCAAGTCCATGATGGATATATTTCCATGACCAAATCCATCACCAAAACCCTCAAGCAAACGACCCCCTTACGAATAAATCCAATTTATTCACTAATAAAGTGAAATCAATCACTTTTAGCTTGTCCTGCCCAATTTAATGTTGACTGTATTGACAACACAAATAAATTAATCTCAATAAATCTGAGTGATTAGAAGAAACGAAAACTTGCTATAAATTTTATAGATTATTTCTTTTATTTTACATTCCGTTAATGTTATTTTTGAAGGCCGAAATGTAGGTATAATACACATTTTACGTACTCTGTCTAGTTAAGTTTCTTGACCAGATGCAATGCATGAAAACCAAACAACTACTATAAACTAAGATGTATTTTTCTGTTTTGATGATATCAGTTCGAAGTTGGACGAGTTGTCGAATGCATAGGGAGTAGCACAATGTAATATTATCAATGATACGACAGCTCTTTAGGGCATAGCAATGTCAGTTTGGATTTGGTTAATTACCAAACCAATAAGTACTATAAGTACTATAATACTAAACGGTTTAAACCCGTAAAACCAAAATCACAAAACTTTTTATATTGATTTCGTTTATGTTAAAACCGAAAAACCGAATAGAAAACCAACAACCCTAGGGGTGGATCCAGCTATTAGTGCATGCTCTCGCGAGAGGAGAGGACCAACTCCACCTCTGTATCTAGGTAGCTATCACTCTCCCAATATTGAAATAAGCCAACTCCACGTATTTAGAGGGAACGCATTTCGAGAAGGATGAGGTTATAATTTTCTCTCATCTGTCAGTCAGAGGCGCAGGCAGTAATAGTAGTAGGTGTACAACATATGGACACTGTCGCTGCCTGTTTCATGTGCTGGAATTTATCCCCCTCGATCTCTGCTTTGTTGTTGATTCATTAATTACCAGTAACTAAGCCGCTGTGTTCATCGATCTGCAGTGGCTCTGGGCCTGAAATTTATTAGTAGCTGCTTATATCTCGGGACCCTGTGCCCCTTCCCACAGTTGCACCTTCCCCAAATGTCATTCTTTCTTTCTCTCTGCAGTCACTGTCGTGCATGCGTGGCTTCCCAACATTTCTCTCTTTTGTTTTTCTCTACTTCACTCAAACCAACATATACAGTGAATTAGTTACTAGAGTTGCCCATTACAAGATCTAGGGTTTTGATTCTCTCAAACTTGCTAAAATCCACCAGTGATTGGTCAGCACACCTTAAAAACATTAGCACGATACTCAAATTGGAAATTTCTTTCATGCTCTTTGATCACTTGCATCTTAGTCGAATGCCTACTCAGTTAATTTAAAGTTTCCACATATCCATGCCTTGTCATTAGTTAATAAATTCAAGCTTGGAAAAATACAGCCAGAAGTTCAGGAGGCCGAGCTTCTATCTCTTTCAAGTTTCAATTAAAAAATGAGGTATATGCCCACTGTTGTTGTTATCAACAACAATTTGAATTCTCGAAACATTGTATAATCACGAAATTCAATTTATGAGTTTGAAGCTCTGATCGATTGCCATATTCTTAAAAATGTAAGTCATGAGGATTCTGTCAAAGAATGAAGAAATTGTATAAGAACAACGGAGTTTTTTAATGTGGTATCGTCAATTAGAGACTAATCCATGGTGAGTATCTCCCTCACAGGTTGTATATTTTTTTCTTTTTGCTTGCTTTCTCTATTACAAGGTACACGAGTATATACGGCATACGGGTCTCATATCCTTAACCCTAGCCGAGAATACTAAAGCTATTTACATAAAGGTACTTTAAATAATATAATTAACATATTCGAACACCAAGGATTTGTAAACTTTTTACCGGAGGTTGGTATCAGATAAATCAATAGTAGAATATTATTTTGTGTTTAACTCGTGATTCAACCCGTTTATACCGATAAAATCCTATACCGATTTGAACTTAAATAGTTTTTTTTTTG